GTGTTACAGATTTGTTATTGTTACAATGCGTGCATGTTAATGAGAAAAACAAAGAGTTGTTGTTCTTGCAGTTTTGAAGACGAACGAGAATGATGATGACAAATACGATGCAATTGTGATGTTGTTATTGCATTTATGTGAAGCAGCTGAAGGAAATGATAGTCATGTTGTTGCAACGTACATATTGTTGATGATGCTGATGCTGGGTGATGAAGTAGATTAAAGGTTACGGTGAAGATTAAAGAAGATGATGATGGTAGAGGTTCAGAGAGAGTCAGAGAGAGAGAGAGAGGTTGAATAAAAATGGTGCGTATGAATGGTTCTCCAGAAAAAGTCAAGAATGAAGTTGAATCTGGTGAGTTTTCTATTATGTAGCTGTGATAGTTTGTTAGGATTCTGTTACATAAGGAACTAATCTGAGCCTTTGATCTTTCAATTCTTTAGGAGAATGAATGGTTGGATTGAGTTTATTTCCCCCCTGAAATTTTGGTTTGAATGGATTTCACGGTTTTTTTTCCCTATTTTTCTATTGAACTCATTTTTTATTTTTTATTATGAAATTAATCTGGTCATTTAACTGATGCAGGGCCTTGGTTTTGATTTTATACTTTCTGAATATTTTCCTAAACTGGATAATGGATGTAGAGTTGGAAAATTTTGTTTTGATATTCGAATGAGCTACTAATTTTCTTGAACTTGCCTTTATTCCCAACTGATGTGAATTGATATGAGAAATTTATCTTTTCAATTAACTCTGTAGTTTTTTCTCTTTGAAAGCATTCTCTTCTAATTTATTATGCAACGCAGTTGTGCATTGAACTATTTTGATGAATAGACTTGAGTTTGGATAAAATCTATTTTAATTGTCTTCTGTGAACAAGGCACCAGTTCTGATTGTTTCTTGATAAAAATATGGTTTATGTAGGTTTGTAAATTGGCCAAGTTTGAAGGGAGATCTTGAACATTCATGGTGCTTTGGCATAAGTTCAGGATTTATACTTAATATCATGTATTTGAATCTTTGTAAAACTTCTTTGTAATTTTGTAATGAATGATGATGGATTGTATAAATTACGGACTTAGGAGTTGAGATTAAGTCTTGAATATCTCTCTTTATTATGTAATCCTTTCAAAATATTATGAGTGAATTTATTTGGAACTTGAATGAATGAAGAAAGTAGAATAATCAAATGACATGTTAGTGTTTGAATCAACACTTGAGTCAATCTTAGAAAACCTGGATGCACTTTTATGAAATGCTCGATCTTGAGTCAACCATGAAAATGTCCTGATAGAATTCACTTGAACTTGACATGATGATATTGGATGGGACTTGGATGATGTCAAAGTTTGACTTGGTATTGTGTATTTATAGTTTTGAATGAAAATGGATGAGTTTTGTTTGATACAAACCACTTTTGTAAATAGTCTTTAATCAAGGTAAACTTTGAATGATGATGAATGACTCGAGTCTTGAAACTTGCGGGCCAAGAAAGCCACATAAATGAACCTTCCATCTTCAGCAATCTCGAATTAATTCTTGACAAATCATATGCTTAAGAAATTTGATCCAATTAATTAATTTTGAACACAAATTTGAATTTACGGAATCACTTGAATCAACTTAAAATCCATATCATTTTGGACCCTTTATTTCAATCACTAATCCAAGTCATCTTGCGTTACATGCCACAATCAAGTGAAAGAATGAACATGTCTTGAACAAATTAAATCCATAATTTCACTCTTTACACCACGACTTGCACTTGTAATTCAAACCAACATAACAATAACGCCTTGAGAAACCCCTGAAGATAAAAACTAAGACTTGAAGCATAACAGGGATGAAAACCTTAAATCCAGTCTTCAATTGATGAACCATAAACAATTTTAAGCAAAAGACCTAAGCCCTAATTCCACCAACTATAATTCAAAGAGGAAACTGATGAACCAAGATCAATTGCTGAATAAACCTTCAAACCACATAGAAGCATTAGCTTCCAATCATGATTGTTGAAGAAACCAGTCGATTCAACCTTGAATAAAGATGAGAGCCTAAAAGAATAGATAAACCCTATTTCTTCAAAATTCCTGATCCCATGCTAAGTCTTGTGGTTAATGAATGCATGACGTTATTAAATGACCTAATGGAAGGTATGCATGTGAAATGAGAAGTGAAAAATACATAAGCTAGATAAAAGTAAAAGGGTAGGACAAATTTGGAGTATGATAGTAGGGGCCACATGTGAAGTGTCAGCGCCACTTGCTTGTAAGTTAGGCTCGGGCTTCATAATTTTCCTTTTTTTGCATCCCCTCTTTGCTCTTTTACCACCTTTCTTACAATTTTTTTATTTCTTTTCTTCTTTTTACTCGAATCTCTAACTTGTTCGATATACCTGAAATAGGACAAAAATACCGGCATAACAAGACATAAATAAAGGAAAAATAAAGTAAAAATTCACGCGAGTCAAGTCAAATATATGATATAATTGCGTGTTATCAACTAACTTTACTGCATCCACTTCTAATTATCCCCAACCTTTCCCACTTTATAGTGGTGGCTCCACTAGCAACCCTACGCATAACACACCTCAATATTCAAATGATCTCCACACGTCATTTAATTATCAATCATAAAAAAATACATTTCGTATGTCCCAGTGTTTAGATTTAAGTGATGATAACTCGGATTCAAATTCCAACAATAGTTTGTCAAACTCTTCTGAATCTGATGATGAGACTTTTGAAGATACGGTGACTGATTCACACCTTCAAGGTGAGTACCTTTTATCATTTATTATGTCATTTCATTTCTATTGACACCCATACTAAACTACTTTGTCAACGCAGAATATTATGATATTGGAAACACAATGTGTGAATGTCAGCATTGTAAGGCTTGTATGTGGTATCATGAATGTAAATCCAAACATAGACATACTGATGTGCCTAAGTTTCATATATGCTGCAAAGGTGGAAAGGTCATGCTGCTGTCATACCCCAAATTTTTCCTGCCTATTCATCAAACCATCTGGCTTATGCATCACATATCCTTCATGTACATCACTTTTTCATTAGGTCATCTAACACATCATGCATCATCAATAAAATTAGGCATGGAAGTTTTAGAGGATCATCATCTTGTACTTACAACTGCTACTTGAGTTAGGATTTATTTCCATACTTGTGTGGTGATCGAGGGGTTATTTCTTACGGAGTTTTGATTCATCGACAAAGATCGTCATTCAAAGGACCTCATTCATTACTTGGATCGCAAGCTATTATGCAAAGGGGGAGTATGACTAAATTAGGGATTCATACATTTGAATTAGGGTTATCTTACTGGTGGCGTAAGGTATAGTTGTGGGCGTTGTGGGCCTCATACACCATGTCACTTGGGACCGGTGTTTCCTTATTGATTATGAAGCAAGCTGTTGTGAAATGGTGTTCTTTTGATTAGATTATTGAAGGTCTCTATTTCAAGTTCAACCATGGCTACTTATATTTCTATACATCACAAAGGGAGCATGCATAAATAATCTTTAACTAAGTCTTATGGAAGTTCCCTTTCATTATTACCATGGAGTGTTTGGCATTACACGAATAAGGGAATCATGATTATGCTTGACATTTACACCATTAAAGGAGTATTCAAAGTTAAATTCAATGTAAAATAGAAAAGAGAATACTTCGAGCGCTTGAGAAAATTGATATTGAATTCAATAGATTTCAAAGGATCCACAAGAATATCATGCTCCTAATTTCATCACATCACACTACCATACTGTCAGCACAGTTCAATTTGGAAAAAAGAAATAAATATGTAAAGCTTCTCCATTAGAGTCAAAGTTCCATAGAAGAGTTTCATTCAAAAGATAAATGTCCTAAATATTGTGCTATTATAAAAGGAACACCCCATTTCAAAATGTTTAGCTTAAGGCCCTAAGGATGTTAAAGTACAAGTTCATGAGCCAATTGTCCATAAGTGTTGTTCTTCGTCAACAAATGTTTTGCGTGCTTTCCCTCTGCGTTTTCTTCAAACTCCACTCCATCCTTATGTCTCCATCCAATTTCAACATGATATTCCCATTACCACATGCCAATCATACATCAAACAACATCAAATCCGAATTCACTAGCCATGCTCGTATCCTTCCAACACAAACACCAAACGGTCCAAAGCCAATTAGCATCACAAAACTGGCCAAACACGTCAAAATTGGGCCCTGCATTTGTTCAAGTCAAGAAAATAATAAAAAATATCCATTACCTACACAATCAGTTCACGATAACTTTCCAAGTTCAATACAGAAAACCAGTTGAAAAGTGCATATTGATAAACAAAATAGTTCCAACATCCAACTCATTTGCTAATACGTTTTTACTAGCCCTTCACTCACAATAGTAGATGTCATTTGAGATATTACTAACACCTTCTGTTTACTCCTGAAAATTATCTTTCAACTAACTTTCCTAAATAAACTTCTAACAGCTCTTCACAGAAATTACAACAGAAAAACTAACCTTCCTAACTAACTAACAAAATTTCAAAATTTTCTAACTCAAACTACCTGTAACAGAAAAGATAACAGAAAAAAACTGACTTCTAACAGATTCCATAACCCCTAAAAATTCACTAACATCTAACAGATCAATAACTAACAGTTTAACCAATAACAGAATGTAACAAACTTTCATAATAATCTCTAACCTTTCTAACGGTCAAAGAACCTATTCAACTAATAAAACTATAACCAATTCTCACCTTCATGGAGACTCAATCTTCAATAGTTTGAGCAGAATCACCAAACCCAGAAAAAAAAGCTTCTCTGTGCTCTCTCGGAATTCAGCATCTCTTTCGCATCAATTCTTAAACCTTCATCAATGATCTCTAATCTTCTTCAATCTTCAAAATCGCTCAACTTTCTCTCTACAACTCCATCGAGTCAACCTTTAATCATCATTTCCGTCAAGAATTTTGCATCATCATCATTAACGATTCACTCCATCTGCAAGAACAACAACAATGCAACTGAACCGCACAGAGCATAGAGAGATCCGAAATCGTGGGAAATCCAGAAGAAAAATGAATCCATAACAGAAACGAAAGGGAAAGAGAAGTGAAGATTGAAGCTGCAGACGCACGAGATTGAAAAACACTTACCATATTATCTCTGAAGTCACTATTCTTCACAACAGTATTGAAGAGGTGCCGAAAGTTCTCCGATTAGTAAGGTCTCTAAACTTCATCTCCTCGCTATTTTTCCTTCATTTTCGTACCTTCTTGCAAGAAGTTCGATTCCGATTTTGATGTTTCCTGAGGCATCAAAAGTGAAGATTGAGAACAACATTGTTGGTATTGCGGTGAAAAAGAGGAGCAATGGCGGTGAACGGTTGGCTATGATAGCGATGGAGCGGAGATGGAAAGAGAGAACCGCAGAGTCAAACAAGAGCGAGTTTGCAAAGATGATGAGAAACGATGAAACAAAATCGGAGTTCTGAAGCATAACTTGCTGCGTGGCGCCATTTATAAGAGAGAAAGAGAACGAGTTGTTTTTAAACTCCAAGCGTCACAAACCCTCCTCAACCCTATCTCCTCAATACACTGTCATTTGTCCTTCTTTACTAGTTGATTATTTTTTGTTGTTTTTTATTGATAATTGGAATAATATAAATTGTCGATAATGTTGCTGGATCATGTGGACCAGATCACCTCTCTACTAAGCCCATTAGATGCATTTTTGTGAAGCTTACAAAGATTGGAACAAAAAAATAGCTTATCGGATTTCCTGCAATAGGACCAACATTGTTTTTTTATTGATTTAGTTGCTTGTGAACAAAAAAACTGGGTTATGGATCACTTTAGAAAATGGGCCTAGTGCCCAAACTGCTTCATCATATCACATAGATTCTAGTTTTCACCCCTTGGGCTTGTTTTATTTTGCAATTTGAAATTTTCTTTTGAATAATTTTGATAATTGTTTAGATTTGTTTGAACTCTTCCTTCACATGATAAAAAAAAATCAATAAGATCATTAAATTTTTTTATTTGATTTTAGGAATTAAATCAGGATTATCCGATTACCTGAGATTTGTAATTCACCTTTGCTTGTTGAGATCTGAGTCTTATGCTGGGTTTTTTTTGTGATATGAGGATATGCTTGAGATTTCGATTGTGATTTATTTTCACATCAATGATGCTACAACACTTATTCTAAGCATTTGATTTCAGACTCTCATCTGTTTCTTGGTGAAGCTCATTTGAAGTTTTCCAGGTTTCTCTGCTTTGCTTGTTATGCCACGAACTTTTGTTTGTTTTGTATTTTCTCTTGTTTATCTCATTTAAGCACTTTACTGCTTTCTATATATTATGAGAAGTAGGAAATAAAGAGCATGTACTCGAAGTCACTGTTTAAAGTCCTGTAGCAGGCACCACTTTCTGTATGATATTTGGATTTTTTTAAAACCCTACCTTTGAAGTAGGTATTTCGCATGTGTGTTTACATTTGCGCTCACATCTATTCCCCTATCCCTTATTGAAATCCGCAAAAGGAGGTGAGCGGAAAGGGTTCGCAATCAACCCCCGCATTTCATCTTTATCATCCTTAGCTCGTGACTCACCATGATGCTTCGAAGTTGTGCTAACTCTGGTTATCGAGTCGTCAAGTGGAAAAGGGTTTTGTGATCGAACCCCCACACTTTGTCAGGAGTTCGCATTGGCCGATCTTGACACTCCGTGATTGTTCATATTGTCTTTTTTCGCCTACCTCGATCTTCTATTCTTGGTTAGGTGTTCAGTCGCTTAGGTCATCCGCCCCCCTTAGCTAAATCATTTCTCTTCTTTTATATTTCACTCCGGCTTGTTTGTCTCGGGTGATCTTCTCCCCTTGACTAAAGCATTTAGCTTCTTTTTCTTTACCATTTCATGTGTGTGCTCCTTCGAGCTTGTTTTCTTACTTGCTTTCTATACTATGTTCCTTTAGGATGTGCTTGTTCCTTTTGGATGCAAGTCAGACCTTAGGTTACAAACCATTCATGCTAGCATTAGATAGACATTTCCCTTATGTTAATCCAAACCTTAGGACCACCAATGTATGATAACATTAGGATTAGAAATTGGCTAGTCTCCCATATACTCTTTTTTACCTCTTTTGCACGTGCATTAAAACTAAAACATTGTTTTTTTAGCAAATCATAAAACACCTTAATCAAACTTAAACCCTTTTTTCAAGGAAAACAACACAAACCAATCAAATGTGGCATCTTGCCTTGAGGGCGTAACTCAAAACCATTTTTAGGTAACGACATGTTAATTTACTTTGGTGCCAACACGCGAGTCTCCAAAGGTCGAGCTGCGGTAGAAGGCGAAATTAACATTGTTCATAAAAAACACAAAACAAAAAAACATGTGAGCCGAACTACGATAACTCTGATTCCTCAAAAAGGATATGTAGGCATTGGGGTAGGGCCTAAGTGAGCATAACTTTATTTTCCCTACATTATTTTCTCCTTTCTTTTACATGCATTCTTCCTCAGTAATAAGCAGTAAACATAGATTAAATACAACCATAAGATAGATAACAAGAGTGATACCATAGAGTACTACAGGTGTGTGGGGTGCTAATACCTTCCCCTTGCGTAACAAACTCCCTTACCCGATCTCTCGATCGCAAGACCGTGACTTCTCCCTTCTTAGGTTTTCTCGATGTTTACCTATCCCTTTATGTGGGATAAAAGACGTCTAATGGAGACTTTGTTGTTTGATGATTTTTAGCTGGTTGTCTCAGCTGTCACTGATGAGGAAACCTCCTCCTTGGTTGCATCGAGTCCTCTTCGATAGAACATTACTGCATACTAAAAAATTTCAAGACAACATCAGAACTTACAATGCTATATTCTCATTCACTTCCCCTGGGATGAAATTCGACACAAATTATTCCAAGGGCAACAGTCCACCTACTTTATGACTGCATGGTCAGCATGTCACCGAATAGGAACAATGTTCCTGGAACCCGGTAAGCCTCCTCAATATGTCCATCTTTACATCTTTGACACTGATAATAAGATAAAAAACATAATAGATTGGTTCAGGTAAACCTCCAACTACTAGCATTGCCTTTCCATGTTTACACTCGCCCACTTGAACCTAATCGATTATGTTCTATTTTTTTGTCATTGTTCATGTAGGGATAACAAAAAGCTCAAAAAGGAAATTGTCACCAACTTGAAGGTAATGTTGGATGAGAAAAATGTTCATGCTAAAGCATTTTGAATGGCAAGGGATGTCATGAATGCAAATACTTTCCAAGACTTGAGGTTGAAGCTGATATCAAATAGACTCGATGACGGTCGCGTCTATAACATGCCCACCATTTCATAGGTTGTTGCTCTAATCGTGGGTGATATTGACACTGTTGATTAAAGGGACATCATAATCTATGCACGTGATGGTAGATTGAAACTAATAGACAAGTTTCAACCGACTTATCTTGGGTACCAATACCCTTTAATTTTTGCTTACGACAAAGATGTCTACAGGCCAAATATACTACACAAGTACCAGCACGAACAGGTCGTGACCAAAAACCCCGTCAAACTAATAAGAATCAGTTATGCTTCTGATTACAAGAGCACATTGTTGAAACTAAGACATTACTTCATTCAAGGAGCCTATTCCAACAGTTTTTGGTTGACGATTATCCTATGATGGAATCCGAGCGTCTGAATTGGTTGTGAAAAAATTAATCTAAATTAAGAGTTGGTAAACATAGCAACTTATAACATCAGAGTAATGCAAGACATTCCAACAAAGCACAAAATAAGGAAACCGGGTTGTTTTGTCTTCTACTTTTTTCGGTAGCAAGAGGTACATGGGCCAACTATATTTCGATGGAATGGCCATTTCAAGTAAATTGGGGTTTCCATACCTGTTTATTACCTTTACCTGCAACCCAAATTGGCTAGAAATAAAGCGCCTATTGGAACACAAGAACTTGAATGCACATGACCGACCGGATATTGTAGCTAAGGTATTCAAAATCAAATTTGACGAACTCATGCGCGATATTGCAAAAAACCATGTACTTGGTGAAGGAACCGACAGAAATCATCGAGAGTGAATCAATGAAGTCACCATCGAGTATTTATTTATCCCACAGGAAGGGAAAGGAAAACCATCAAAGAAAAACCTGAGAAGGGAGAAATCACGATCTTATGACTGGGAGATCCGGTAAGAGAGTCGATTACGCAAGGGAAAGGTATTAGCATCCCTCACGTCCGTGGTACTCCACGGGATCCACTCTTGTTGTTCTAATCTAAAGGGCATTTCTATATAAACTCTAATAAAGCTAAAGGGAAAATACATGTATGCAAAGTGTATATACAAATAAAAAGGTTTTATTAGTCATGCCTACCACGGTTGTGAACCTTTGTGTCTACGTACCCCCTCTATGCAATGAGAGATCAAGACACTCGTAGTTCATCTCAAAAATTCTGATGTGTTGTATGGTTTTTATGAAAAATGCAAATTTTGCATTCTAACGTAGCTCGATATTTGGAGACTTACGCATTATGGTATAAAGGAATTAACAAGTTCTTATATCAAAAAGGTTTTCAAAGAAAAAAGGCCCGAAGGCAAAACGATCTGGATTGGTTAGTATTTTTTATATTGAGAAAATATTTAAGTATGGTTAGAGTATTTTATGAATTTGATAAAGAAAAGGATTTTAGTTTTAGTTATACAAAAAGGGGAATGGAAAAAGTCTAAAGGGGACTAAACTATTTCTATCCCTAGTGTTATCATACAATTATGGTCCTAAGGTAGAGTTTGAAAGGGAAATCTCTATTTAAGTTAGCATGCATGGATAACAATCATAATGTCTAGCTTGCATCGGAAATGACCAAAGTGAATCCTAAGGGAGCATACAATGGTTCAAAACCTAAGGAAACATGGTATAAACAAGGATGAAAAGAAAACGAGCAATCAATAAGCTCAAAAGAGCATAAAAGGGAAATCCCTACCTAAGTTAGCATACAAAAAAAAACCTAAAGGAGAGAATAACTATCCTATAGAGAACATGCAAAGATCAAAGTCGTTATCTCAATTTTAATTGAGTGACATTATCGATCGTCAACAAAGGAAACTGATAAAATCCTAAGGGGAGTATGCAAAGATCGAAGTTGTCATCTCAATTCTAATTGAGTGACATCATCGATTTTCAACAAAGAAAGTAATAAAATCCTATAGAGAGCATGCAAAGATCGAAGTTGTTATCTCAATTCTAATTGAGTGACATCGTCGATCATCAACAAAGAAAGCAATAAGAACAAATACAAGTAGCAAATAAGTGCAGAATGTCTGCTACAAGTTTTTAAACAGCGACTTCGAGCGCACGCTCTTTATTTCCTACTTCTCATGATATCTTGAAAAGCGGTAAAATGCGGTAAAAGGTTCAAGGGATAAAAAAGAAGCAAGTGAGAATACCAATCGAACAACAATTTGTAGCAA